TTTGATATCACAGTCCTTAAATGATGAGTTCTGATCCTCAAAGAAATCCTGACTGTTTTAAGAGTCTCCGAGCCTGGACACCTGGAGCCTAGCATAAAAACACTGGTCTAGCCTGGAAATCTGGAGCCTAGCCTGGAAACCTGGAGTCTAGCCTGGAAATCTGGAGTCTAGCCTGGAAATCTGGAGTCTAGCCTGGAAACCTGGAGTCTAGCCTGGAAATCTGGAGCCTAGCCTGGAAACCTGGAGTCTAGCCTGGAAATCTGGAGTCTAGCCTGGAAATCTGGAGTCTAGCCTGGAAATCTGGAGCCTAGCCTGGAAACCTGGAGTCTAGCCTGGAAATCTGGAGTCTAGCCTGGAAATCTGGAGCCTAGCCTGGAAACCTGGAGCCTAGCCTGGAAATCTGGAGTCTAGCCTGGAAACCTGGAGTCTAGCCTGGAAACCTGGAGTCTAGCCTGGAAATCTGGAGTCTAGCCTGGAAACCTGGAGCCTAGCCTGGAAATCTGGAGTCTAGCCTGGAAATCTGGAGTCTAGCCTGGAAACCTGGAGTCTAGCCTGGAAATCTGGAGTCTAGCCTGGAAACCTGGAGTCTAGCCTGGAAATCTGGAGTCTAGCCTGGAAACCTGGAGTCTAGCCTGGAAACCTGGAGCCTAGCCTGGAAACCTGGAGTCTAGCCTGGAAACCTGGAGCCTAGCCTGGAAACCTGGAGTCTAGCCTGGAAACCTGGAGTCTAGCCTGGAAACCTGGAGTCTAGCCTGGAAACCTGGAGTCTAGCCTGGAAATCTGGAGTCTAGCCTGGAAATCTGGAGTCTAGCCTGGAAACCTGGAGTCTAGCCTGGAAATCTGGAGTCTAGCCTGGAAACCTGGAGTCTAGCCTGGAAATCTGGAGTCTAGCCTAGAAACCTGGAGCCTAGCCTGGAAACCTGGAGCCTAGCCTGGAAACCTGGAGTCTAGCCTGGAAATCTGGAGTCTAGCCTGGAAATCTGGAGCCTAGCCTGGAAACCTGGAGTCTAGCCTGGAAACCTGGAGTCTAGCATAACAAACCTGGAGTCTAGCATAACAAACCTGGAGTCTAGCCTGGAAACCTGGAATCTAGCCTGGAAACCTGGAATCTAGCCTTGAAACCTGGAAACTATCCTGGAAACCTGGAGTCTACCCTAGAAACCTGGAGTCTAGCATAGAAACCTGGAGTCTAGCCTGGAAACCTGGAGTCTAGCCTGGAAACCTGGAGTCTAGCCTGGAAACCTGGAGTCTATCCTGGAAACCTGGAATCTAGCCTGGAAACCTGGAATCTAGCCTTGAAACCTGGAAACTATCCTGGAAACCTGGAGTCTACCCTAGAAACCTGGAGTCTAGCCTGGAAATCTGGAGTCTAGCCTGGAAACCTGGAGTCTAGCCTGGAAACCTGGAGTCTAGCATGGAAACCTGGAGTCTAGCCTGGAAACCTGGAGGCAAGCATAGACACCTAGATTCTAGCCTGGAAACCATGATCATATCATCTCCAAGTCCAATATATCAAGCATCAGTTGTTAATGAACCCAACTCTGATCCCCGGGAGTGGTAATCATGTCAGTGTTTACGTGTATGATGAACGTGTATGATGAACGTGTATGATAAACATGTATGTGTGTGTGTGTGGTCCAGGAGATCACTATATCTGGAGATGAGTGTGAGGTAATTGAGTGTCAGTTGTTAGTTGTACAGCTGAAGCATTATGGGGGTCAGCAAGTGTACCTTGTGACACAATCAACATCACTAGACTTAAGGATGTATACTGGTCTTTACCAAGAATATCATTATTTTTTCTAAGATAGGTATTTTTAAAATCTTAATGATCTAATTCAACTGAAAAAGGGAAGCAGTTGCTGTGCATTCTATTTGTAAGCTGTTACTTACCACACCACCTTATTCCCAAGGCAAATTTTTTAACCATCATAATTAATCATATTTAATCTTTCTAATAATCAACATTTATGAAGTCTTAGTAGGTTTTTAGAAGTACCTAGCGAGTATGCAACTGTGTATTAATCATATAAACATGAGTGAGTGAGTGAGTGTGAGTGTGAGTGTGTGTGTGTATGTGTCCTAGTCCGGACTGTTGCCAATTGATCGAACCCCGGACCTTCCGCTCTCTGGGTGTGCTGAGTGTAGGTCCTCCAATGTGTACTGTGTGGTGAGTATGGGTCCTGTGTTGACTTGTGACCTCCAATGTTCATTGTATGGTGAGTATAGGTCCTGTGCTGACTTGTGACCTCCAATGTTCATTGTGTGGTGAGTATAGGTCCTCTGCTGACTTGTGACCTCCAATGTTCATTGTGTGGTGAGTATAGGTCCTGTGCTGACTTGTGACATCCAATGTTCATTGTGTGGTGAGTATAGGTCCTGTGCTGACTTGTGACCTCCAATGTTCATTGTGTGGTGAGTATAGGTCCTGTGCTGACTTGTGACCTCCATTGTGTATTGTGTGGTGAGTATAGGTCCTGTGCTGACTTGTGACCTCCAAGGTGTATTGCATGGTGAGTATAGGTCCTGTGCTGACTTGTGACCTCCAATGTTCACTGTGTGGTGAGTATAGGTCCTGTGCTGACTTGTGACCTCCAAGGTGTATTGCATGGTGAGTATAGGTCCTGTTCTGACTTGTGACCTCCAGTGTGTATTGTGTGGTGAGTATAGGTCCTGTGCTCACTTGTGACCTCCAATGTGTGTTGTGTGGTGAGTATAGGTCCTGTGCTGACTTGTAACCTCCAAAGTGTATTGTGTGGTGAGTATAGGTCCTATGACCTTCAGTCTGTATTGTGTGGCGACATAAAGTCCTGTGCTGACCCTGATGTGGAATGTAGAAGAACACAACCAGAAAGGACAGTGTGAGGTATGCTGTTAAAGGTCTGTCACACAGAGTTTGCTTGTTGCGATAAGAAAATTGAACAATCATACATGATTTACAATTGACTTGCAATTTACCTGACTGCATCCTTTAAAATAATAAGACTTCAAGATTCAGGCACAAGAAGACCAACATATTGATAACAGTAAGAAAATTATATTGCAGTACTGGTTAATCTTTGTTTGGATCTATGGTGAAAATTATATTGTACAGAACCTTTAATAAATTATTCTAATTGGTCTGGTGGTAAGAAACAAAAAAAACCCCTGATATGTTCCTGTTTGTTGATGTAGCCGATATGACACGAAATGCCAGATGCCAGGAAGTATAGGTTACAACAAAGAAGGCCTGGCCTCCACATAAGCATTTACAGTAGTGGCTAAATTCAACATCACATAAACTAAACAGGCAAAAGAAAGTGACCGTGAAAACTGGATTTGACCAAAAACTTAAAAACATTATAGAAACATTACCGAGTCAAAACAGTCCCCGGGACACTGGAAAACTCAAAGTTTAGAACACAACTAGGATACCCGTATCAAATACATCACCATCAAATAACCATTTCTTGTTTGTTTCATTTTAGCCACTATCAATCATAGGTGAATACTTTCTTTGCCTGACAGTTTAACTGATGTAAAATATTCATAAGTAAAAGTAAATACCGTATCCGACATAATAAGCGCCCCGCTCTAATAAGCGCCAATGGCGATATTTGCTGATATATTGGCTCGTGAACAAGCCCAATTTGCATCCCTTCCGATTGATCAATGTACACAAGACTTATTTATTCGGTATAATACGCACATGTGTGTTATATGCACCCTTATTTATGGGCCATTAAATTCTGGAAAAATATATCTGTCGTACATAAACATTTTAGGCTGTCAGCATAAACCACGAAATTTATCTTTCAACTATGTTTCTTTTTCACCAAAATAATATTCTAATAAGAGCCCCCTATTTCTAATTTTGAGAGCACCCTGGGTGCTTATTACGTCGAATATGGTAACAATTTATAGCTTCTTCCCTTCCTGTTGTGAATAATAGATATAAACATATGTGAAAGGAAAATATTACACAAAATCCAGAGTAGCATAACATTCACAGATTCCTTAATCAGTTTGACGATGCAGGGGTATAAATTATGAGTTAAAAACAGTCCACAATCCTCCCCATCTACAGGCAAACACCGTTGTGTCGAAGTTGAAGGGACCGATGTAAATACTTTGAGTTATCTGTGGTTCAATAAAACCGAAAATGATGAATAAAGATGGAATATGCAGGGACCAAGCTTGTACTTCGAGACAACTGTTAGTTTGACACATCAAAGTTTGACACAACAGTGTTTGACTGTATGTAACTTATACATGTAAACTTACTTAAGTGTGGGAGTAACGACTAGCCCTTTCAACGGCCCTTGACTAGTTGACAAGTAAACAAGCAGACTCGTGTTGTAGAGAAAAGTTATCTAACAATATCTACATGTCTATGAGTAGGATCATCAATGTTCAAATATTCCTGAAGTGAACACATTACACTGCACGCAATACACATGTTGCTATTCAAAACTGTTCAGGGATTTATCTAGCCAGTATCGGAGGTGGATAGTCAGCCCCAGTGATCCAAGCAAAATAAATGTTAGAATTTAACATTTCCAAATCAAGGTTAAGATAAATGGTTGAACTTCAAAAAGACTCCATGTATTTCACTGATATATAAAAAAATCAGCAAAGTATTTCAATATTTAGTTGCCATGGTTACGTTTGATTATTGCATTGAATTCAATGTTAAAATACTTCTGAATTTAGAAAACAAGGACTATTAAACATTTCTCCTCAATCTGCCTGCCTTGGGTGCTTAGTTGGAAATGCAAGATATATCCCTGTTATTTTATGTTCATTGTGAAAAATATGTACATGTGCTTTATAATAATAATAATTATAATAATAATAGTGGTTGAGAAGCAAATGTCATATTTGCCTCTCCAGAAGGAATGAAGCATATTTATAGCAACTGTAATCACTTACATACAGTGCCACATACAGACATATATAATCATGTAAACAATGACATACAAAATAAATTTGCCAGCAAATTACATGCATATTTGTTCACAATATGTTCACAAATCACTGATTATAACCCTGGTTGAAATCTCAGATCATTTCTGAAAATGATAGTAAAAATATGTTTGTATTTATTCTTTCTGTGTCTGGTCTCCTGTGAGATTCTCATCATCTACAAATATGGGATTGGTGGCGCCCATGGCGGTATTTCGGTCCGTGTTTTTCAACAGGTTCTCCGTCGCTGGATCGCCTTGATGAGAGGCTTCATTGCACACAGAACTGTTCCGCTTGGCGGCTTTGTCCGACACGCCGTTTGTCTGAGCAGTGTAGCCTGTAACACCTACAACTAAACCATCCCTGTTCTGCTTCATCCTCACATGAATATCTTTCGAATGGACGCCATTGCCATTCGTAACTTGGTGTCCACAGTTTTTGACAATCCTCTGCGAGCTGTTATCAACATAGCCCTGCATTGTGACCGCCTCTTCGTTATATACAGCCTTTGGGCGTGGGATTCGTGTGAGGGTGAAGTCCTCGAGCTTTAGGTTCACATGGGGCACCTCAAGAAGGTCAAAGGATTGGGCGTACTTCCTTTTCCAGCACTCCTTGCCACACAGGATGACACCGATAGTGATGAGAATCCCACAGATACAACAAGCCACGATGATCACGATGAGGTCGACCTTGTCCAAACCAGTATCGGGCGGGTCAATTGGGCTGAATGTGGAGGCAGGGGGGTCAATTTCAGTGACCTTCAACCCTGGTAATTTCAGCCATTGGTTGTTGATCATGATCGGAACTTCAAACTGGCGTTGTCGGAACTGAGCGAAAAGCTTGTTGCGGAGAGCCAGGTGGGGCACCTGCATGAGACCCACATGAATTATCACTGAGCCACACTGTGGATCATACAGTTTAATCTGTTTCTTTGTCACATTGAGGTTAATCACAAGCACGTTCTCCAGGGAGCCCACGAACTCGGCCATCACTAAGGAATTGTTGAGGATTAAGAAGCAGTCAACATCAAATGTCAGTTCAAAGTAGCAGTCCTTGAGATTAGAAGTTGGGGTTGTTGTTTTTATGGTGGTAGTGGCCGGCATCGCAGAGGGAATGATGGAACTGGAGTACATCGGTGCGCTAGACGTCGAGGAAACAATTTGGGAAGGCATGACAAATGTTGATGTTGTTTGCTGAGACCAGGGTACAGTTGTTGAAGACGGAGCAACAGATTCAGGACTTATCTCCCCTGATGTGCTGACAGTTGGTCTCTCAGTTGTCTCCCCTACTGTGCTTGAACTACTAGAGACTTGAAGGTCACTCGTGTATTCTTGTGACTGTGAAGTGACTGAAGTGAACAGGCCTGGTTGACTTGTAGCAGATGGTTCAACAGACAAAACTCCAGACACAGCCACTGATGTTGACACAGACTCTGACACTGACACAGACTCTGTGGTTGGATCAGTAAAGACAGACGCCGATTCCTGTACAATCTGGGACGTCTGTGTTCTGGATGAAGCACCAGTAACAGCAGACGACTCGGTTGTCATCACCGGCATCTGACTTCCTGCTTCTGTCTCTGAAGCCCGCACAATGTTTGAAGAAGCATCCGGACCCTGAACCTCTGTTTGGGTGGATAGGTACACAGGTGGTGTCACAACCTCGGAACTAGATGCTGGTATCACAGAACTGGTTGGAGAGAGCAAGGGGATGGGCTGACTGGAGACAGTGTCTGTTTGACTGGAAGCCTGTATCTGGGTGACTGATTCACGATCCAGAAACCTACCCCAGCCTGACGACATGTCCCCAGTCACTGTGGACAGTTCTTGTGTACTGAGTACGGCTTGCTGTATTTGAGACAAAACTGTCGTCTGCTCAGGTGTAGCAGACGGTATCACTGCAACCATACTCGGTTGGAAGGAGGATTGTAAACTCTGGAACACAGATTCGGTCGACATTGGCGTTATTAACGGTGTCATGTTTGGTGTAACATTCAGAGGATTTGAAGAAGAGATTAACTGAGAGCTAGATACAACATGATTAAAACGTTCTGGCTGCACAGTGGTTACCATCTGTTCAGTGAAAGAACTTAGCACGAGATGTTCTTCTGTTGAGAAAGGTCTGGTCTGAGTGACCTTGTCACTGATATGATGGGAAGGAGAAGACTGTGACACAATTGTTGATGTATCCTGAAGCAGTGGCGTTGATGATGCAACACCATCAACGAATGATGTAACTGGAAAAACACTCACATGACTTGAATCCTGGATCATCTGTGACATTTCCGTCCTTTGCACGGATGATGAAAATATTGATAATGAGTCATGACTAGGAAGTATATTTTGTTGTGTATACGTGTAATCTGAGGTCACAGAGTCTGATACTGGTATCCCATAATCCCGTGGGGTCAGAGAAGAGGTGAGCGCGCTCCTCTCCGGAGGGCCGGATGTTTGAGACGCAGGCAGGGCTGATGTGCTGGCTACTAGTTGTGGATTAAAGGATCTGCTGGCTTGATTTGTTAGGCTGGTGTTCTCCAGAGTTGTCCGTGAGGTGTTAACGTTTACCGATGCTGACAGTATTTGCTCATTGGCTCCGCAAACTGCGCACAGAAAGCAAACAACATAATCAGTTAACAGTATTTGCAAGATCTTTACTGTTTTCTTTACCAAGCTTTTTCAAAAGGGAAACATGCTGACACAAATGTGACTTTTGGAGACGTTTGTATTTGTCTCTCGGAAAAGCTGTTACAAACTCATTGAAAAGAAACATGGTGATGAAAGTGACAATTTGATTCCCATAACACCCAATGTATATCACATGGGAACAATATATACTACACATCTGCTAAGAAGCAAAATAGTTCTTTAAGCCAAATGTGTGGTCCTTAGCAAATGTTGAGTAGTATCGGCCCGAGTTGATTTTTAATTCATTTTCCTTCTTGAAACACGAAAGAGTGTAGCAAATAATACGAATTTTTTTAAAAAAAATTATGTATCTTACGTACAATGAATCTCAATGTTTAAGATTATATTTATAGTCTAATCCCCTGACTAAAGTGTGGGGATGACAAAAGGCCTGTCGGCTGCTGATGAGTCAAACAAAACACTAAACAGACAAATGAACAAATCACTCCAACACACTCTCAAACAGAGGATAAATGGATAGCTGCACCTTGTGTGTGTTAGAGTCACCAGCGGGCTGTAGGTATTGACAGAGTTACAGAAATCATGTCCCAGTAGACACTTAACAATTGTGAAAAAGGGTTAGGATGATCAGTTTTTAACCTCTGCTCACATTACTCTGCACAGCAAGACGTTATCACCAGCCCGGGTTAGCTCTACACTTCCACAGGAGTTTTTACACCATAGGATTGATTTGTACTTCAAAGCGTTTCAGCTAGAGCTTGCAGAAAATAAATAAAGAAATAACTTTGCTGTTTAACGGTGCACTCAGCTATAGACAGTAGCCTGTTAATAATTGAGTCTGGCCCAGACAATCAAGTGATTGATATTCTTATCAACGGTCCATGCCATTGGGGTAATATGACATCAACCAAGTCACTGAGTCTGTCCCCCGATCCATTTTGTCACCTGCTCTTGACCGCCTCCGTGGTCTAGTGGTAGAGCGTCTGCCCGGAGAGTGGAAGGTCCGGGGTTCGATCCCTGACCGCATCATACCAAAAGATGTTAAAAGATGGTACTTGTTGTCACCCTGTCTGGCGCTCGGCATTAAGGGGCTAAAACAAGGACTGGTCGGCTTGGAGTCAGTATACTGTGTCTGAGTGGGGTATTTATGTTAAACTGCGGCATGGTATCTCAGTGAGCTAGCACTATAAATTGGCATCAGTCCGGACTAGTACAAACAGCCACACAAACACACACACGTACATGCACGCCACTATATAAGTGCAATAATCTTGGACGCGACGTTAAACTCCATTTCACCTCACCTCACCTCACCTCACCTGCTATGACCAGCATAGGTTACTGGGGAAATGATCTGACCCGGAATCCCAACAGGAGTAACTAATATGAACTGGCCCTTCGGAGTGAGAATCTCTGTAACCTAAATATGAAGTGTGGGTTTCGATGGGGTGAGTGAGTGAGTATGATTTTACACCACTTTTAGCAATATTCCAGCAATTTCACAACACCAGGAATGGGCAGATTCGATGGAAACAATGTATGCCCAGCATGGACTATTGTTGAAAGACTCCTCATTTGGAAGAGCAACATTTTGCTGTGACCAACATATTTTGCTGTGATTGACACATTTTGCTGTGATTGACACATTTTGCTGTATCCAACATTTTGCTGTGATTGACACATTTCGTTGCATCCAACATTTTGTTGTGACCAACACATTTTGCTGTGATTGACACATTTTCCTGTGATTGACTCATTTTGCTGTGATTGACACATTTTGCTGTATCCAACATTTTGCTGTGATTGACACATTTTGCTGTGATCGACACAATTTGCTGTGACTGACATGTTTTACTGTGATTGACACATTTTGCTGTGATTGACACATTTTGCTGTGATTGACTCATTTTGTTGTGACCAACACATTTTGCTGTGTCCAACATTTTACTGTGATTGACACATTTTGCTGTGATCGACACAATTTGCTGTGACTGACACATTTTGCTGTGATTGTCACATTTTGCTGTGTCCAACAATTTGCTGTGACTGACATGTTTTGCTGTGATTGACACATTTTGCTGTGATTGACACATTTTGCTGTGATTGACACATTTTGCTGTGTCCAACAATTTGCTGTGACTGACTTGTTTTGCTGTGATTGACACATTTTGCTGTGATTGACACAGCTTGTTGTGACCAACACAGTTTGCTGTTATTGACACATTTTGCTGTGACCAGCTCTCCCATCCTCTATAAATCTCACCCCACCTCCCCGCCCCTATAATAAATGACCAGGGTGCTGTTGTACAAACAAAACCTTAGCGCTACGACGGTTGTAAGTCTAGGTTTGGGAGTTACGCTCACCTCAGTGCTAAGATCACTTTGTACAGCGCCACACAATGAGGATACACACAGCTTCAGGGAAGGTGATTCAATTGATCCTTAATATTCAAACCCCACAGCAGCATCCATTGTGTTTGCTTCCCCCTTGACTCTCGTCACCCACGAGAGAAGCAAGTACCATCGCTCGTGTGTTTGGAGGCGATGTGGAGACATAGAATCGCTGAAATCGCTCATTATATAGAAATTGAGAAGAATCCAATGACAGCTCGGTAAAAGCAGTTGTAATCAATTTTAAATCTATGACTTTTTACCAGGTGACAGATGAGATGTTTATTCCTTCAAATTTGGCACAAATTGCAATATAAATCCTGCTACAATCAAATCAACTGGTGTACGAGGAAAAGATTAAATATTGAAATCTTGAAGGTTCAGTAATGGCTGTTACGCCAACATATTGGTCCAGCAACCCATACATTGCACCTTATTCAAACCGCTTTCCTGGATGTTGCCTCATGCAAAATAAATGTTCTTTTTCCAGCTGTCAAATATCAGTAATATTGATTTCATTTGTCAACATTTATCAATCGATGCAGACATCAAACCAGAACAGGCTCATTAATTGCTTCCTAAAACGGCCATCTTAATATAGTGTCTCCCCTCACGTATTGATTGGACGCATGCAAGCTGCACAATAAACTACCTTCCTCACAACTTTATAAAAACAAACATCACATCACAGCTCACTACAATCTCTAACAAAACAGGATAATAACACACTCACTCCGCATTTTCCCTACTAACATCTGATGACAAACTTTCTGGGATCCAAAGTCTCTAATAAAACATTTTAATTAGAATATCAGCTCCCAGCATGAAAGTCTTTTTTATGAAAGCTAAAAGCACTGGAATAATTACACCCAATTCCGGGCATCATCTAAAGTCTTGTATTCATTTGCATGTAATAAAAGTTTTGTTCAAGTAGCACCCTGCACGAAGTATATGAAATGGGAGATATCCATTATCTTCTTAAAAATGCTATTGATGTCACAAGTAGTATTGATAAATGTTTAAAACTGTTTGAAGACACAATTCTGAAAGTGTGTTTTCAAATTCACAATCAAAGAGAGATCTCCTAAGGGCATTAACATATTCCACGAGGCATCACAGTCTTGGAGAAGTTCTGCCTTCCTAAATGTCATGGCACCGTGAACACGTACTGTCCACACTAGCAAATCAATACGGCAAAGAAATCCTTAACGTTATTTATTACTTTTAAGATCTTTACAGCCTCATTTACTTAGACTCAATTATTCTTTCTGCATGTCATCAGTGTTTTCAATTATCAATATTGTTGCTGATCTAATGTGCTACTTTCTTTAAGAACGTTTTTGGTGTTGTTTCTATCTAAAATTAAAATAAACAACCTAAAGAGGTTACATTTTCTGTGCAATTTTTTTGTGGCAATTTTAGTCTTTGGCAAGGTTTGTTTGTTGTTTAATGCCGCACTCAGCAATATTCCAGCTGTGCCCAGCATGGACTATTGTTGAAAGACTCCTCATTTGGAAGAGCAACATTTTGCTGTGATTGACACATTCTGTTGTGACCAACACATTTTTCTGTGATTGACACATTTTGCTGTGACCAGCTCTCCCATCCTCTATAAATCCCACCCCACCTCCCCACCCCTATATTAAATGACCAGGGTGCTGTTGTACAAACGAAACCTTAGTGCTACGACTGTCGTAAGTCTATGTTAAGGTTTGGGAGTTACGATCACCTCAGTGCTAAGATCACTTTGTAAAGCGCCACCCAGTCCCTAAGAATAACATAAAAAGTACTTACTTACAGTGAGTCTTATTTTCTGTTTTACTAAACAGTTGTTGAAAAATGCCACATAGCCTTAAAGGGGAAGTGTACATGCAAAAATTACTTTCTTTCTTTTTCTAAACAAAACGCAATTTTAGAATTAATTAGTATCTGTGTTTGAAAATATACACTCATTTTTTTCACAGTGAAAGTAGGAAGCTCACAATAGTGTGAAAATGATATGCCGTTATGAGGCCTTCGTTTTTCGAGCTAAACAGGCCTGAGTTATCTCCCTTAGATTATGACGTAATTGGTGCCAATTCAACTGGGTCCCTGTCTATTCTGAACGCAAAAGATATCAAGTACAAGTTTTCGGTAAAACAACATGGCCTACGACACACTCCGGCGCAGTGGTGACTCAGCATAACACTATGCTGGCTGGCATCTGAGACGCTAGAATCACACACCTGTACCTACACCACGTGAAGCGGCTCTAACAAAGCATGATGACGTCATAATGTTTATCAATTGGCACCAATGACGTCATATTGCAAGGGGCATAAGGGGCACGTACTGTCCACACTTGCAAATCAATACGGCAAAGAAATCCTTAACGTTATTTATTACTTTTAAGATCTTTACAGCCTCATTTACTTAGACTCAATTATTCTTTCTGCATGTCATCAGTGTTTTCAATTATCAATATTGTTGCTGATCTTATGTGCTACTTTCTTTAAGAACGTTTTTGGTGTTGTTTCTATCTAAAGAGGTTACATTTTCTGTGCAATTTTTTGTGGCAATTTTA